CATAACAGTATTATTCTGAATTATTATTCTATTATCCTGAAAGGAGATGGCTGCAATGTGCTCTACACGGGGCTACTCTTGGCGCTATCTGGAAGCTTCACCCATTGCAGAATGTGGTGGCGGGGGCAGTTTTTGGACTCCTGGGTTGTAACACCGTTGCTGGGGAGCCACGTCGGACGCCAGTTTGCTTTGGGTCCACTTGTGCAATCTTTTCCTCAGCCTGTCCACTCAGCAAATTGCTCTCTTGGACTTGCGTGCTTCCTCTACCTTTATACATACAGTTTGGAACATTATTTTGTTGGGTTGCTCATTAAGACTAGAAGACTCAGAGAAGGTGTCCCCACAGATAACCAGAACCCAGGCCCAAGGCATTATAAAGCGATATTAACAGTTCAGGTGATCTTGATTCTATCCTATTAATGCAGACTAGAATCGCATTGTCTCTTTTGGCAGCCACAGCACACTGCTGGCTTGCCAGGAATCTGTTTCATCTCCCACTTGGTGCAGAGTTTGTTTCCCAGGGTAAAGTCCCCCATTACTACTGCGGTGCGTTTCCTGCACAGCTTAGCTAACCGGTTAGCAAAAACTTCATCTATTTCCTCCACTTGGTTGGGTGGCCTGCAGTATGCCAACGCCATTCTTTTTTTCATTTTATATTAAACCATATGTATTGAAGGAGGCTTTTATTGGTTTTATGCATTTCCGTAAAGATGTTGTGATTTCTTACGTATAATGCAATTCTTTTGTTAAGTCTGTTTTCTTCACACAATTTATGTCCTTCCAGCAGTAAATTTCAATCATGAGGAGTTTCATCCCACCACGTTTTAGTAATGGCAACTATATCATGCCTGCTCCCGTATATCAGTACTTCAAGTTCACCCTCTTCTCATACTGGCAGCATCGATGTCTGAGTCCTTTACGGCTGAGTCTGCGTTTGGCTCCTACATTTCCTGTTTTGTATCTGAGTTCCCCTTCCTTCCCACCACTCCCTACTTCATTATTTGATTGGTTGTCTTGGATTTCTACTTGGGATTAGGTCCTAAAGATTGCTCACCTTCCCCCTTCAATTTAAAGACCTTCAGATAAGCCGTGCCAGTCATTTTCCAAATTCATCCTTCCCAGTTCTTATGAGGTGCATCCCATCCCTTGCCAGAAGCCCTGGGATGGTCTGAGGATTCTGGCCCCGGGCAGGAGGTCTGATTTAAAAACTTCCAAAGTCGCTTCCCTGCATAGGATTGTATGTTCAGCCTGTTTAAGTATAGTCAAACCTTCAAGTGCCCTGATGGAGGCGCTCTTCCAACAGGGGGCATTAAGGAGGACAGCAATCTATAAGAAATGATGGGGGGAGGGGAGAGAGGATAGGGATTCAGAAAGGGGAGGGCAACAGCCTCCACCTCAGAATAGAGTAGAGTAGAGTAGAGTAGAGTAGAATAGAATAGAATAGAATAGAATAGAATAGAATAGAATAGAATA